TGACAGGAAAGAAACATACTGAACATCACCAGGATGAATAGGAAAAGCAATCAAAGGAATAGTGATCCAATAGAAGGAGATCTTCCAAGAACAATAAGGAAGATGACTGAGGAGTGCCAGGACTGAATGAATGGAGGATAGGAATATATCTAGGTCTGGATATGATCCAAGGTAGTATCCATCATCAAGATAGGCTGCCATACTTGATCCAAGAACTGGGATTCTATAGGATGAATGGCAGGGAATGAGATGAGGGGGAGATAATATGCGAAAATGAAAATACAATCAGGGGGAAATGAGGTGGTCCCCTGACAGTGTCCTTAATTTGGAACAGATCAGAACCAACAATATAAGAGTGGATTTGAATACCGAAGTTCCAAACAAAGTCCAAACAAAGTCCCGAACGAAGGTAGGACTTCGGAGTAAGATCAAAGGTTCGAGGTGAGTTCGGAGTTGGTCCTTGAAGATCATATTCGATTTGGAGGTAATAGAGGTCTGAGGTATATAGAATGAATAAGCACTAGGCTCGAGTTTATAGGAAGGATATACAATAGGTCTATAAGGCTAAGACGTAAAGTAGGGTCTAGTCTAATTTCTGACTGGGGAAACTAGCTAAGATACATGTACTTATATACTATAAGTCCATGGATGAAAATGGAAGGAAGTCTTACAAACAATTAAGTTAAATGTGGAACATAACACAACATAAAGTGATAGAACAATGGGTATACGTGTATCGTCGAATAGCGAAGGTTCAGGGAAATCATTAAACGAATAATGTGAAGGATCGAAAAGGTATGACAGACAAATATGAAATACGAATATAAGCAAATGGAGTATATGTCATGAGAACAAATAAGCGAATGGAAATATACCATAAAAAAAGATAAGCGAACGAAAACAATACAAACGAATTGGAAATGAACATAACGAAGTGTCACCTGTCAGGATAGAAGAAGTATTGAGGACCAATTGTGCCAGGTCTGGGGGAAGTCCAATAATAGTCTTATGGAATAGTGAAGTGGATAGTGTGATAGAACAAAGTATGTGGGCAAAGGTGTTGTCCTCGGGATCAAGAAGAAGTCGAGATGTGGGCAAAGGGTTTGTTGTATGAACACGAAGACGAGATGAGATGGAAAGTCAAACGAAGTAAGATAGGAAGTTGAACGAAGTCCAAACGAAGTTCTCTGAAGGTTTGTGACCTTCTTCGAAGCTTCGTAGAGGTTAAACAAAGTTACGTGTTGTGACACTTAAGCACGGGGCTTAACAAAAACCATTAGTCATATTTAATTTAAACTATTTCTAAGTATTCCTGTTTAATAGTTATAATAATACCCATACGATTCATATGATAAAACTCATATGAGTTATAACTACAATGAATCTTCTTGAAGGAAAAAATTTACTAATAAGGAAAAATACTTTATTATAAATACTCTCTCCCGCTCCTTATTTTAATTTATATATCTTTAGATACAATTTAAAGATTTCCCCTTAATAAATATACATAAATTACCTACAGAAATAGTTTTAGCTAATAACAATACAACGATGGATTAAATTTACCTAAACTTACCGAAGAGCTAAGATTCTTTATCTTATTTGAATTATATATAAGAACATAACTTCTGTGAATTAATAATGAAATACCTTGTAGTTATAAGGTTATAAGGTTATAGGGTAATAAGGTTATAAGGTAATATTATAAGGTAATAAGGTAATAAGGTAAAAATGTAATAAGGTAATAAAGTTATAAGAGCAGAGGATATAATATGTTACTAATTTTAAAATAAATTATAGCCTTCAATAATTATAATTATAATAAATAGTAAAAATTATTAAAGTGGAAATCCAAGGTCTATGATTACTCATTAATCATTACTTCTTACTCATTACTCATTACTCATTACTCATTACTCACTACTCATTATTCATTACTCATTACTGGAGATTAGATTAATTTATGATCTTTACCAGATTCGAACTGGTAGCTACTGTATGAAAGACAGTTGTTTTACCCTTGAACTAAAAGACCTTTTTGAATTTAAAATATAACAATTAATAGTACAATTATAAAAATATCTTTAATTAGAGGCGGGCGGGCGCCAAGGGTGGGAGTAATATAAATCCCAGATAAATAAGAATAACAATTAATATAAGTAAAATTAGATGAGAGGTCCAGAAGTTAGATAAAAAAACATAAAATATGAAGATAAAAATTTAAGCTTAGATGAAGTTGTATATGAAGATGTATAGGAATATAAAGATATATATGAAGATGTATATAATGATGAAGATAAATATAAAGATCAAGATCAAGATCAAGATGAAGCTGAAGATGAAGAGGGAGATAAAAATGAAAAGGAGTAAAATTTGTTAATAAATTATAATTACCAGTTATTAGGTTTAATGGATCAAGGGTCAAGGCTAACATTGCGTTAAATTATTTATTTAAATTGGTTTAAGGAATCAAAAGGGTTAAGGTTAGTAGTTAAAGGAGATGAGTTCAGTACCTAATTAATGATACAGGTATTTTATGAATGATATTAGTAAAGGTATTGTAATTATGAGCTAATTGGACAAGGGAGATAATTTAATATGGATACACCTTATTTTTATATTAACTTTATTAATTTTCATGGGCAGGATAAATAGTTTTTATTATAAGTATAAGTATAAGTAGAAGTTATATAAGGAGTAGAAGTCTTGTGTTATAAGAGTTGTTGTTATAACTCATATGATTATAAAACTCATATGAACAATTAGAAGTCCTATGATTTATAACTAATCTTGTTTTATAAGAGTTATCATATGAACAATTATAAGTCTTGTGTTATAAGAGTTGTTATCATACAAACTTATATGAACAATTAGAAGTCTTGTTTTATAAGAGAAGTCTTGTGAGAAGTAGAATTAGAAGTAGAGTTAGAAGTAGAGTTAGAATTATAATTAGAAGTCATATGATAATTAAAAGTCTTGTGTTATAAGAGAAGTAGTCTAAGGTAAGTTTTATTATACAAGTAATCAGACTTGAACTGATGATCTCTTCTTGGAAGGCAGATGTTATACCACTTAACTATACTCGTTTATTTACCTAACTTTATCATAATCCTCTCCCCTTTATCTCACAGATCACAGAACATTAGGGTATAGAATATTATATCGTCTAAAGATAAAAGAAAAATGAATAAACATAACTCAATTATACAAAGGATTCTACATAAGATTAAATTATTATGATTTGATACCTGCACCCTGATACACGACAGGGAACTCCATCGCCTGTTATATACTATTAGGACACTGGTGCTAAGCAAAGCTCAGTCTTTTGTGACCCAGAGCCATATGGTCATTCGATGTATATATTGTGATATATGCTCCTCGCTTCAAGACATCTTACCAAACAGCAGATATCTTTAGATATGGCTCTCACCCCCGTTACCATGTATATGCTGCGACACCTGTGTCCTGTTTCAAGACATTACCCGTTGATATACAGTATAGTCCTTGGGATCCTGCTCCATGTACTCTTTCCTGATATCACAATAAGCCTAAAATCAATCAAGCACTTTTAATCTACATATATATTTCTAGGTACTTCACCGGCATCATCTTATCCCAGCTGAGCTATATCTTCATGGGTTATAATCCTGCCTTGACCTGCCCTGTTCAGGATATGCTTCAGAGATTTAGAAAACACTCTGTATTTTACTTTTTTCTCAGCCTCTGAAGCCTATCCCGCCATGTTGATATAGCCCAGATACCATATCACAAAGCATTCACCGTTGGTGTAATAAACTAAACTGTCGGAAACGGCAGAACATACCCCAGTAAGGTATTGTGCTCAATCTTTACCTGGCAGCGAGAGTCCGGGGACGTTGTCATCGACCTTTTCTCCATGATGAATTATGTAGACTGTGTTACTAACCTTCTTGGTATAGACCACGCCCAGAAGTGAGAAGAGGAATATTGACGTGAAGTGAAGCATCGTAACTAGTCTGGTAATGTGGGTTTTGGCAGAGTGGCAGTATTTAATAGGCTCTACTGAATAAAGCTTGGATTTATGACAGCTTTAACAGGAAATATGTGAGTCAGATTACAAGGTGTATTCTGACGGGCAACCGCTACCCAACAAGATGCTTGATGAATTGACGAGTTCAATTTGAATGAGGGAAAGTATACTAGCTGCTGGTTTGGTATCGGACAGAGGACTTATTTCAGACGGAGTTCGATTATGTGGCTGCCGCATAAGGATCCATATTTCTGTTCAAATTGAGACGCCTATTAAGCAAGGTTCTATTTGCCCAACGGACGGCTTTTGAAGAAATGTGTCACATAATTTACCATGGTACGACTTCACGTAATACTAACGTTTGAATTAAGTCTGTCTCCAGAAATCCATGTACTAGCAAGCTACTAACCATTACAGAACTACAGGTAAATTTCGAAACTAGAGTCGCCATCTTTAGATTAACAAACACTGATCACCTTTCCCAGATAGATCCATTGAATCATGCGGTCATGAAGAGGGTGCAGATCATGAGAGGTCGGTGATAGTGTTGCTCACGATCATCCATCCCAAATTCAGAAGGATCCTCGGAGATAAAAGATCAGTTTCGGGAGCACGGCAGTCTAGGGTCTGAACCCATGTTGCAGTGACAGAAAGGCCCTACAGAATGTAATTCCTCACTATTTCGCAAAAAAAAGCATAGTATATACCTTGGTAAGAAGCTTGACGAGTTGACGATTAAACCTTCCTGTCCAGAGGCCATACGTATCTTTATCCTCTCCTTGCGATGGTATTGTGGTATCGAAAGCATAATCCTCCATCTTGGTTTGAGCCCTAAATTTCAATAATGAATTGATTAGTATTGTAGGCAAAACTTCAGGCGTTCAAGACTTACCAGCAATCCTTGATCATGTTTGCCTAAATTTCAAAGAATTTGCGGTTGAATCAGATGGAAGCATGTTTTCAAATAGTCTAGCAAGCAATGTGTTTAATGTCACTGCGTTGATACATGCCTTGGTAACGCCAAAGCTAAATAGGAAGAGATAAATGCAGGTACTAAATCAAGCAACGAGGAAAGCACGTACCCTTTCAAGGATTTATGTTTTTAACAGAGTCACCACGAGCAACAAAGTTTGAAGGTAAATCCTTTGCTTTATGATACTGGAGCCAAACAGCGGGTGCTAGTATCAAAAAAGGTGAGTTTACACGTTCACTCATAATGTTGGACGGTGATATACTCACGGCAGCGAAGATGTAAATGAACGGATGGCAGAATTTTCCTTGTCAAGAAAATCCAAGAATGGAATTAACCAAGAAGGAAGTGGCCCCGCTAACCGTAAAGTCGAGGCGTGTGCTCTTACTTCCACTATGGTTTGCGGAGGGTCCTCCAGGCCCAGCCGCCACAGGAATATGGACTACTCCTGATTAATTTCTAACATCGAGTTAGAAGATATAACTGCTTACTTGTGTTGTTTTCTAAACATATTACTCCTAGTCCTCGTCTCTCCTCTTCTAGATCTGGTGTTCAGAACTGCCCAAGATCGCGGGAGACTCCAGTAATACCGAGTGCCTTGAGCCTGGTAAGCTCGCCTCTTTCCCTTCCTTCATTTTCTATTCTTACGCAGATCGTGAAGTGCAGTTTCAACAAGTCACGTGCGGTTCTCACCGCCTTCGTCTCTGCAACCATCACTATAACCTCTCTATATCGAACTGCGCAGCGGACTTTAGTCTCCATTATACTTATCTTTTCTAACATGCTTACAACTATAGTCCTGTCCCTACCATCTGGAACTCCGAAAACTGAGTCCTCAAAAGTTTCTCTGCAAGCAATCCGACTATCTGACAGCTCGTCTCGTCATCCCTTGCCTCTGGTATCTTGCTTGTTATCCTTTTTCATGTCTGATCACTCTTGCTGCTTTCTATTTGTTTGGTCTACCGACAACTTACTTTGGCTATTTGGCTCTTTGTTGACTGCCAACACGGACTCGCAAAGTTAGAGTTTGGAGATCATCGGAAAGTCATAGCAATGACAGAAGCGCGTTCGGTCGGCCTTCGATAATGGTACGTCACATTAACACTTCAACCATATAAGGGACTAATCATAAATGCCGCAGCTAGAGCATTCGGTCTTACAACAAACTCAAAGCCTCGAAAGAGTTCAACAACGGCCTTTCATACGGCCTGCAGCCAATAACTATAGCATTACTAGATTACTAGTTGTATTCTTCACTTATTATCGCTGGTGTATATATCTTAGATGTCTATATAATATATTAAAATATTGTTACTTTTTAAATTCGAGAAATATATATTAAATATATTGGGCTAGATAGCTAGAAGCCCTAGGTGCTTCAGTGTTAAGCTAGATAGCGCTAGCTAGGTGCTGATCGGGAACCCAACGATGTCGGCAAAGCCCTCGCTAAGCATGCTAGGACTACTAGGCAACGGCGGATTCGCTAAACACGCTATGCAGGTACCTAGACCACCTAGCACTACCTGGACTCTGTCAGATTTCGTGATGTAGGAGTTTCCCACTACCGCGCTCTCGCCGTTTACGCAACCAAAAATGCAACTTTCCGAGGTTTACACATCCATACACACGCTTTTATCAACATAATCGCGCTATTTGATGGATCCGATGGAGATAGGGAATATTTTTGGGTTTTATTTCTTCTGTTTACCAGGTACCTGAATTTTTGCTTCCGATTTTTCCATCGCAACTCCCCCCAATTCACCTTCTATTTCTGCTGGACCACCTCCGGAACATTCGAGACTTGTTGGACTATCGACCGCGATGCATACACGAATCACAGAGGCTTTGGGACCCTCAGGAGCTTTGCGGGGGGCTCGGTTCTGTATTTCGTGTCATGGCCAACTGTGACTCGAAACTTCGTGATCGTGGGCAGTGCCCTCTCATACATTCTCTCTGCATCTTCCAGCCTTCCAAGATTCCTGTAGAGGTTTCCAAGGTTATTGACTGTGCCAAGTGTGGATGTGTGGTTTGGGCCCAGGGCTTTCTCTTTCCCTGCCAGTGCCCTCTCATACATTCTCTCTGCATCCTCCAGCCTTCCAAGATCACTCTAGAGAATTCCAAAGCATTCAACTATGTCCAGTGTGGATGTGTGGTTTGGGCCCAGAGCTTTCTCTTGCCCTGCCAGTGCCCTCTCATACATTCTCTCTGCATCTTCCAGCCTTCCAAGATCACTGTAGAGGATTCCAAGGTTATTGACTGTGCCAAGTGTGGATGTGTGGTTTGGGCCCAGGGCTTTCTCTTTCCCTGCCAGTGCCCTCTCATACATTCTCTCTGCATCCTCCAGCTGGCCTTGTTCTTATAGAAATCACCAAATGTATGAGCCAATTCATAAAATGGCTGATTGGAATAATCAATCTTCTCCATGGTAGCATGTAGTGAAAGTGTGTCAATGTGTGACACCCCTTGACTTCGTAACAACCAAGTGTCAAAATTTCCCAGGCCTCAAAAATAACCTTCCAAATGAAGCATTGCAAATTGAATAAAATGCTTCTGTGAGTTGGTTTCCATTCACATGCGTAACCACTCAGAAACCAATGGATGAATGGAAATCATTATTGTGGAGCTGTTATCACGATGGAATTGGAGCAGAGAGAGCTTATGCATATCTGTGATAATCTTCTCAAATTTGATGTAGTTCCATGTGTCATTGTCATTGAAAATAGACATGGGTGATGTTGCTAGCTCAGACTCCTCAATGCTAACTGAAAATATCTTCTCACTTATTGCCTGAGGGTGAAAGAATCCAAATAGAGTGAGAATATCCTCTAAGTCCTTGGAAGGTTGTCCAGAGGAAGAAAGAAGCAGTGAAAGGGACATTTCCCAAGTGGTGCCTACACTCAGTTGATATGGCCATATTTGAGGTATGTCTCTTAATAGGACATTTTTTCGATGGTGGAACTGGGTAATGAAGTCCTGCAGAGGAAGCTTACGCTGTGCAATATATGCTCCAGCTTGATCAATTGCAAGTGGGAGCCATCCTAGGATTTCCAGAATTTGTTTCCCAAGCACCACATCTTCCACAGAATTTTGTCTTCTGAAAAGGA